CATCTGCTTGGGATTGTGACCAACAAATACACTTCTATTATATTGGAGACAAAATACATTTTGGGTCTATTAGTGCCAGCAGCCTAGGCTATTCTAGGGCATCATGTCACCTTCCTAAACATCCTTACCTGGCAGATACTTCATTTGAAGCACTTCAACCCAAAGAAAACTTGGAAAAGGGTGTCACACAAAACTTCCAATTCCCAAACCCAGTCTAGCACGTTATGTAACAATGATGTCAACTGCTAATGTAGTGGCAAGGAATAATTAGGGAACTTAAAACAAAGGCCATGCTCTTAGAAAATGGGCAAACTATCAAGGTGATAACAGGAAATTCCTGATGTATAGAAAGACACCTCATAGTTCTGCTGTTCACTGTAATGTTCATTTAAGTGGACGCTTTGGGAGGGACTTGTGAACACAGGATATATTGGCAAAAATTAACCCTGAGGAGCTTTTTCAGGTATATGCAGGAGACATACTTGTATCTGTAAGTCCTGTCATGCTGATCCAAGGAATGAGGGGGGCTATAGGGGAGGAACACAAACCAGGGCCATCCTTCAGAATGCATGGCGGACAGTGTTCTTCTACTCCCTCCTGACATCCCCCCTCTTGTCCAGCAGCTTAATGGAATTGAACCTTGAAAGCATCTCTCCCCAGTGATTGCACACCCAGTTCAAGCTTGCCCACATTCCCCACTACATTAGAAGCAACTCTGGTGCTGTGGGACCACCTTCCCTGGCTTTAGCAGTGCCATCATCACTGAGGGGAGATACTTAAGACATAAGTGGGAAAAGAAGGGAGAGGAAATGAATCCCTTTGTCTAAAAAGCAAACAAAATTAGAGAAATAGTACTGGAATAACCAAATTAAGAGTACTAAAAACTTTGAAATAACCAGGCTTGGTACTTGGAGGAATTCAGCAGAAGGCTCAAGAGGAAATGAGGCAACTTTGGGGGAGGGTTGTTAATAATTCAATGATTCTGACAATTGATTCTTACAGAAAAAACCCTGAGATTATGTCATAAACTGACGAATTTTAGAAACAACTGTATGTTCATTCAACAGAATGGCAGTCCTGCTACACTGTGCAGTGTATCCTACTATCTGTCTCTTCAGGGTTTTTTTTAATATACAAAATATTTATATTATTGAACTAGTAACACTTGATGTTCTCTGTGTCTATAAAACTTTGGACCACATAGCTGATGTGTTAAATCTAGTCCACTCCACCTTACAAAAAAAAAACAGAAAAGATTTTAGGTAGCTTCATTCATTGATTCCTCATCAAAATTTTCTAGGACCATGAACATCCTCCTCATCAGTGTCTTCTGGTTTGGGGTGGTCACAACTGTCACCACCACCCAGTGCTTTGGAACACTTTACATTAGTCAATCCATATATTAATGTCCAAGAGCTTAACTTCTCTCCTCTTATATAAATCTAACATGTGACATGTTCAATCTGCTCTCAGTGAATTGACTTCTGTGCCTGGTGGAGTATGACTCTCCCCACCCCCTACATATAAAGGGACTTGAGTGGCTCAGGCCTATCCAGGCAGGTGGAGAGGGGAGGCCAAAGGTGAAGTGGGGTCTGCAGAGGCCATAACCCTGCCCTGGCTGCCCCCTTGCCTTTGAGGGGTTGTTCCCACAAATGAATGAGTTAATTAGGCACTTTAGTTCTTCAGCTGAAGAATAAGACACAGAATGACTGATTTGACACTGCTCATGGTCTCTTGGAGCTCATGCATGCTGTAAGCAGCCTGAGATTCTCCTTTCCATGAATGTTGAATAATCTCAAAGATGTGCAGGCAGCTTGAGGGGAGGAGCTGGACTCCTTATGTCTTAAATATCTCCCCTCAGTGATGATAGTGCTGCTAAAGCCAGGGAAGGCAGTCCCATACCAGAGTTGCCACTCATATGGGAAATGTGGGCAAGCTTGAACTGAGTCTGCACTCACTGGGGAGAGATGCTTTCAAGGCTCAATTCCATCAAGCTGCAGGACAACAGGGGGGATATCGGGAGGGAGTGGAAGAACACTGTCCACCACGCATTGTTTCCCTCCCCTAGAGCCCATCATTCCCTGATCAGCCTCAGAGGACTTAGGGATACAAGCAAGTCCCAGCATCACATTGTAGAAACAGCTCCCAAAATGTAAACGCTCTTCATTTCCTCAGCCAACTGTGAGTACAATCCCTTCTGCTGCTTGAAAAAAACAGCGCTTTTCTTCCCAACTACATTGTTTCCAGTTGTGATGTTGAATTTTTAATTTACAATATTACAGAAGGGCATGGCTTTTTCATGCTTACAGAGGCGGCCAAGTTTAAAAGTCTGGGAAATCCTCCTCTGCAATATGTCCTATAAGATACTCCAACCATCAGAAATCACACAGATGAAAGCAAATGCTCGATGTGCCCAGAGGGCTTCAGAGCTCAAGTTGCTCAATTCTATTGGCTACAGAGTCTCCAAGATGGAATGGGAGGCAAAACTAGAGGAAGTATTATTTTAAAAGCCTGGCAAGTTCACAGGAGGCTAGCATAGCATTCTATTCTCTGCACTAATAATTTACAAACCAGACAGTGAAGAACAAGTGGTTCTGAATCACCCAAGTCTCAGACAGCAAATGGATGCCCTATTCCAGTCACTGGAGCACCACCCCTGGAACCTATTATGACCATGTGGCCTCCAGTGAAGTATAGAACAGGCTGCTAAGAAGCAACGACAGGAAGTTTCTGGGTTCCCAGACACCTAGCAGCAGCTCCTGGGGTGGGTGGTCCGAGGAGTCAGATACTGAAGGCAAAAAACCTTAACTCTGAGCCTCTAAGGCAGTGGTTCTCAAACTTCCTAATGCCACGACCCTTTAATACAGTTCCTCATGTTGTGGTGACCCCCAACCATAAAATTATTTTCCTTGCTACTTCATAACAGTAATTTTGCTACTGTTATGAATCGTAATGTAAATATCTGATATGCAGGATGTATTTAGGCGACCCCTGTGAAAGGGTCGTTCAACCACCAAAGGGGTCGTGACCCACAGGTTGAGAACCGCTGCTCTAAGGCCTTCAGAGCATGTAAGCTGGGAGAGTTGAAGGCAGAGAGACAGTGCAGCTTCTGTCCCCCGCTGGTAAAAGACCATCCAGAATCACCAGACAGATAGATGAACTCAGGTGAGGCAATATCTGGGGCACTGGCATTTTCTAGCATGCTGGCTTCATCAATAACATTGCAAGTAACAAAAGCTTTGAGCACAGACAAAGCTCACTGATTTAACTTCTGACTGTTCCCCTGTTCTCATTTAAGGCCCCTGCAAGAGACCAGCCCTTTGCCCCTATGAATATGTTCACCCATGGAATGAGGTCAAGTGTTAAACTCAAGTATTTGGACATATAAAACCACAAACTTACTAGAGCACTTCTTTTTCAATATACCCAATTCATACATAAATGTAACGAGGTGAAAGCAAATCACAACTGAGACTCTGACACCAGTTTTTGCAGTTATTTAACTTTATTATATTTTAAAATCTGATAACTGTAAAACATAGTATTTGTATAAACACCTGAGGACTGTTCAACTGGACATAGCATCTTCACTCAAACAATTTGAGAGAAGACCAAGTTTAAATTATTTTATCTTATAACACAAAAGAAATAACATAGGTGAAACCACCCTTTAAATAGTTGCATTCTTGTATAAAGTACATTTGCTTTTCTAAAAAATAAAATGAACATTCTTGCCCCTGGTGTATATTTCATTGGCATTTTCAACAAGTGGCTAATACTTTTAGCACAAATTCTCATAGCTTATAAACATTACTCCAAAGTTATACAAAGTAATAACAATAAACATATAGCACCATTTCCCCCTGAAAGTTCTACTTTAAAATTGAAGCCCAAATGATGTCAGAATTAATGCATCTTCCAAAATTTAGCAGAATAAATGGCTCAGAACTAAGCAAATTAATTAGAAACATTGCATAGGACAGAGAAGTTCCCTGTTGGGAAACCAATCTATGAATTGTTTCTTATCCCCTGAAAACTAAGCTGAGAGGTACTAATGATAGCAAATGATGCACATATTGTTTTACAGAATAAAAACGTCTGATTATATAAATAGTTTATCATTACCTCTGTGGCAGTGTAAAGTGCCATATTAAATTCAAAAAGAGCAGATTTATTTCTTTGTACACCTACAGGTATAGAATAATATATAAATATGCTGTAACCATATGAGGAATAAACACGGACAATAAAATATATATCTTGTAAAAATTTGGGCACGGTTGTCTTCAAATAGAGATTTGAGAAATGAATGCCTACCTATGTTCTTTTAAAATAATAGGTATTCCATTGAAAAAAAAATTAACCAGACTCCATCCAAGACACCCTTTTAGTATAATATCTCCTACATAAAGCAACTATTCTATCTAGCTTATAATTGTTTGAAATTTATCAAAAACAGATAAGAACACTTTATGAAAGTTTATAGCTTGCTTTTTTTCTTTAAATATGAACAAATATAACATACGGAAAAATAACAAAAGGGTAATAATTTATATGGTTATTCCCTTTCTGGAAACTGGTAGAACACGAACAGAACACTGTTATAACAGACAAAATACTTGAGAAAGAGATGATTTCTGCTGTTGTATCTTTAAATTCTCTTCTAACGACAACTTCTCATGGATTTTACTAGAGAACTTGTCAATCCCTGATACTTTCCCCTTTGGAATTTAGCTGTTTTAGTTCTATACATAAGCATTAACTGAAATCAAAGGTTTCTCTGTTTCCTACCTGAAGTATACTTGTAAACTGTATGATAAAATAATAAACTATAAAATAATAAAAAGACACAAAGAAGTTGCCAATTTGAATATGCTAATACTAATACATAAAACGGCATTTAAAGATGTAGACTGGACTGTAATGTAGCTCTGCAATTCTGTATGTAACATTCTTTTTTAGGAACTGTCTAGAAAACTAAAACTGCTAAGAGAATAAAAATACTTTTAGATTAATAAATTATCAGGACAACTGAGAATCACGGCTAATACAAACTTATATATTTTTAAAACTGGGTTTCCCTTCTTTAAGTTTTTCAATGTGGTAGCATAACTTTAGAGCTGGCCCCAACTTCAGCCCCATATACTTCATTACAACATCACTTTTGAGTAGTAGCAGAGCCTTCCCATCAATTTCCTATAGAGAGAAAGAAATTATAAAAATTAATAATGCATTCATATTTTGTCAAGTTCTTTATACAAAAGAACATTTAAAAGAGAGCAGCTGTACATTCCCAATATATATTGTCTGAATAGACATTTATTCCCTGAGAACTATTTAAAATATAATTTATATAGTAAAGCATCATTTGATAATTTTTAAATTCACTTCAAATTTTAAGAGAAAGGAAACTTAACCCAGTATCTTTTTAAAAAATGGCCTAAGCATCAAACTAGCTAATTTTAAATAATGTGTACCGAATAAAATACTACATTATCTGTGACAAAGGGCAGAAACCTGTAAGCGGTAGAAATGAATTTCAGACGGCCATTAACTATCTTAGAAAGGCTGGAATATGAATATGTCAACATCAACGCAAACTGTAAATGTGGTATACAGTGTTGTGTTTATTTTGAAAGCTAATCAGTTTGTTGTAATCAGTAATTTTCTTACAATATTGAAAAGGATACATCAGATATTTGGTCACAAATATGATTTATTAGAAAATATAAACATTATTTAATAGACATAAGGCATCCTCCTAAAATTCTTTATTTCCTTAATTAACCAATTTATGTCACAGAAGCATATTATTTGGTATCCATAAAATAACGCTGCACTTAATCTTATACAGTTGCTGAATTCATTGGGCATCAAAACAAGATGGACACCCTGTTACAGCTTGTGGTCACCCCCTCCTACTCATGGTCCTGGGGCTGAGCAGGGAGCAGGTGGGGAGGAGGATCCTTGTAGCTGCCGTTACAAAGAAGACACCTGAGAGTGAGTGACCATGCTGAATCATCTTCTCTTGAGAACTTGAAGACTTGTAGTATTTTAGGTACTCGGGTACCCATTTAAAGTATAGATCCAGCCTCTACCACTTACGGATCTAACTTTGAGCAAGGTAACCTTTCTCACATATGGAAAAATCAGTTGATAGGGTTCCCCACCATCCACACTAATCAGCTTCCAACTGAAGAGCCTGCACAGAAGTCATTCAAAGGCAGGAAAACCGGATCAAAAGATACATTACATGTTGCCTGAAGAGGTCGGCGAGGGGGCCTGATATCTGAGGATCTTTATGTTTCATAAACTGTATCACTTCATCCACACACCAGGTTGAAGGGTCCTTAGAGAAGCCTTGCTTCAGGACACTGGGGTCAGGTACAGCTATATAACTTGGAGCTTCAATGGGGGGAAAAAAGACAAATCATACTTGACCTGATCATTATCCTGAAAGAAGAGATGTTAGGTAGGAAGTGATGAACTCATTCCTGGAACCATCTGTTAGGTACCCTGGCAAGGACCCAGGACTCCAAGTGTAAAATCCAATGAAAACTTAGATAAAGATGATGTGAGGATGGGTACCCATGAGCGTCCCATCTGACTGCCCACGAACAACAACAGCAGCTTCCGAAGTTACTGTAAAGCTTCAAAGTTCATAAAACAGACTGAGCAATCCAAGGTCTCTTTGGCCACAGGAAAATACAGTAAAAGATCTGTTACTTGGGTTAAATTAGGTTCATCTAAGCTAACTTATTACTCTCTTTAAGTATTTCAATGAATTTCTCTCCTCTTTGTCTAGATTAGGTTTATTTTACTAGCTAAATACAATGGGAATTCCCCAAATTTAGTTTTATAATTGCTTATATTTATTCACTTTAATCAATAAATTTCAAAAACTCTATTATCTTTAAGAAGAACTGAATTAGTTCTTTTACTAAATCTCTCCCATGTATTTAATATGAACGTTTTTAGCATTACTTTATTTTTTAAATTCCTGTTATCTCAAGGCTCAAATGCTTATCTGAATTTTGAAGAAAATAAGATTATTTTCTGTTTATATAGGTCAGAAGTAACTTTAATATTATACTGAGGTATTTAATATCAAATACCTCTTTCAAGTTTATTTGCATAGTAATAGATAATTTGTTTGAAGGTTTATATGTTGAAAAAATAAGACATGAAACAATTGAAGTGCTCATACCTCAAAAAGTTTTAGCTATGATGTTCACTAAATCATGCTGAAATTTCTCTGTGTCTAGACAAGTATTCATTTTCTCAACCAGAACACTCAACTTTCTATAGTTTGTGAAAACACAGTGGGTTGTGTTTTTATTTTTTTAAATTGAATTTATTGGGGTGACATTAATAAAATTATACAGGTTTCAGGTAAATAATTCTACAATACATCATCTGTATACTGTATGCTTTACTAGGAAGATTTACATTATGTCTCTAACCAAGAAACTGTCAATACCAATTTGATCTTTTTGTAATAAATTAGCCAAAGGTGTACCTTTATTTCCTATTATCTGGATTCTGGACACTTATGGGATATTTTGAGTATTTACTGAGGACAAGGGCAAAGAAAACAGAAGATAAAAAAGTTACAATGATCAATTTTTTGTGTGTGGCTTAGAATTTTCTTTTTCAATAATATCACAACTTTGATGGGAAATAAAACCTCTTTACTAAAATGTATCTTCCTCTTCCACTAGTCAGAGATAAAAAAATATTGGTCATATCTACCAAGAAATGCTACTGGGCTGAATCAACCAAGATAAAAGTGATGATGAAGTATACCAGCGGTCGCCAACCTTTCGGACCTCACAGACCACCGTGGTTCACAGACCACCGGATGGCGACCGCTGGTGTAGACCATATCATACCTAAGACATTCTAATAACTTAGACAGAAAGATCTTTAACTGAAGAAAGATTCAATTTAACATAAACTTATTGGCAAGGCGAATCATATCACTAAATTAACTTATGCTTTGTGGTATTTCTAATTTCTATCACAAAATCTGATATAGTTATGTCTTTTTTTCCCCATTTACAATTTACTAGCTCTTTCAGTGTTTCCGAGTGATAAGGAAGTTTCAGTGATCTTACAAGATGAATAGGAGAAAAGTTGCACTTATAACATATTGAACAAATGTCTAGACTGAATCAGACTACTAGTGTAGTTTCAGTCTATTGGTAATGTGAGGCAGTTTTCCAACCAAGTGATATAGTAGTTCACAGGGGGAATATAGTTATGTATTTTTGTTGTCGTTGTCTATTTCTGTTTTATTTATTTATTTTTTTATATTCCATGTGTAAATGAAATCTTAAGGTATTTGTCTTTCTCTGTCTGACTTGTTTCACTTAGCATAATACCATCTAGTTCCATGTTATCTCAAATGGCAAGATTACATTCAGTTTTATGGCCAAGTAATATTTCATTGTATATATGTAAACTTGAACAACATATAACTAGTTTTACAGCTTACTACAGATAAAGTATAAGTAAAGATATAACTTCTGGTATAAAACTGTAATATTATATTAAAACAAAACATCGATAAGAATATCTATTTTTAATCTATTATGGAAAAATAATGTAATTAGGCCCATATCTTCAAAACAATCAGAAAAGTTTGCAGACATTAGTGTTATTCAAATAATTACATGAAACAAATTATGTAAAAAATAAAGTCCAGCCATGTTTTTCTCCTGAATAGCTTTGCCTTGTAAATACTAGTATAGCAGTAACTACTTCTGAAATAAAGTGAAAGTGATTTGATTTTTATCCCCAACAATGTTATTGAATTTCTTTCCTATAATAAAAATCAACAATTTATTTCATTCAAATAATGGGGCAGGGCAGAAGGTTGTGTGAGCATCACCAGCAATCAGGGATGAATTCAGCTTTAACTGTTCCAATACCTTAAAGAAAAGAATAGTAATGACATTTCTAGACATTTTCCAAGTGAAATGCTTACCTATTCTCTGGAGATGTAAGCAACATGGCGGTTAAGAGTATGACCATTGAGCCAGAGTGCCTGGGGTCAAGCACTGGTCCAGCTACCTTCACCTTAGTCAACTGACTACTCAGATTTTTCTACCTAAAAATGTTTACCAGCACCCTACATCACAAGAAATTATTATAAAGATTTAATGTATAAGGCTATGCAAAATATTATGTGCTAGGCACATAATGTCAGATAGTGATAAAGATAATGATGCTTTTTATTAAGTAACTACTAGTAAGTAATGTTATTACTACTAGTCTTCCCACTACTAAAAAGATCAGCGGGTAGCCTTCTCAAGCCCCAATACAGGCTACTTTGGCATGGTAGTGTTAGGAATACATTTGGAAGTAAGATATTCAGCATTAGAAGCAACCTTTTAGAGCCTTGTACTAAGAAGGTCTGTCTTCAAAAGCTCATGTTCTGTGAAAATCCCTAAAAGTTCAGGGTAAACTACCCCTTTATAGAATAAACATCTATCTTCAGACTCTGCAAACAACGTCACTTAACAGCAGAGGCAATCTACACAGAGGCAATCTTAGCATCTGTAATGGCTTGGCCCTGACAGTGATGTGGAGTTGTCTCAACCTCCTCAATTTGGCACTTTCTCTAATGTGATACACTCTCAGGGGATGTCATTGAACATGGAAACCTTAAGGGGAAAGAGACACACAATGATTTAAAATCACTGTTTTTAAATATACCTTCACTGTTCTTCTGCATTTGGAATTCATGGGGAATGTTCTGGGTAGATGATGTATCCAGTAGTGCTGAACTTAAGGAGAAGGGCACACCTTCAGAAATATTCTTGGAGACTGAGGTATCAGTGCTTAAAGGATCTCCACTGGCAGGATTCAAATTACTTTCTGGATTTAGTGGTGTGTCCTGGGACTCTTCAGGAAGCGTCTCCTCTTTAGGCATGACATTTCCCTCAGAAGACAATAGTTCTTCTAGAAGAAAAAAGACAAAGGCAATTATCGTCAACAGACTTATAATTCAAATACTATTAAAAGGTCAAAAATCTAATCTTCAACAATTCACTTAAGCCATGCTATACTAAACCACAAACCTTGAACACAAAGTACATGGCCATCCCCTCCTTGATATTTATAGTAATAGACACTATCCTGAAATCCAAATTTATTCTCTGACATCACCTACAGTTGCTGTGAACACCTCACTAAGGCATTCACTTTCAGAAATGCCATTCTTCACAACTATTTGTTATGATCACTCAGCTAGTTTCTAAAATTTGCCTACTAGTTGGGCACTTAAAACTTTCGCTGGAGAGACTGACAGATCTCAGAGGGAAGAGGGGTGGAGGGACTGGAAGGCGGCTGGGGATGTGGAGGCTGGGTGGAGAGGAGCAAAGCGGGGAGAATGGGAGACATCTGTAATAGTGTCAACAATAAAAAAAGAGACTTAATAAAAAAAGAGAACTAATCAACAAATTCAGTAAAGTTGCAGGATATTAAATTAAAAAAATAACAACACAAAGTTGGAGAGGTTAAAAACCCCCACACATGGTGATTACCAGAGGGAAGGGGGCAGGGGGGAGGTAGAAGAAAGGAGAGGGGGAATAAATGTAATGGAAGGAGACTTGACTTGGGGTGGCAAACACATAATACAATATCCAGAAGATGTATTATAGAATTGTATACCTGAAATCTCTATAATTTTATTAACCAATGTCACCCCCAATAAATTCCTCTTTCTATCATCTTTCAGTAGTATAAAGCTGAATGAAAAATTTTACTGTAATTCTTTTTAATCTAATGAGAAACATTAACTGTGTCCTTCTGAAGAGAATAGAGTGCTCAACAAAGCTGCCAAAGTAGTAGCCTAATTGCCAAAATGACTTAGGCAAATACACCCCCTACCCTCAACACCACCATACAAGAGCATATATAAGTGGTATAGAATGACTTTTCTCCCCAATCTTGGGACATGTAGATACTATTTACCTTGAGAGGCATGCATCTCTATTTTGGGGAGCTTAGGAGAGAGAGGAGCAACATCAGATAGAGGCTGCTCAGAAGGTCGCTTGGTGGTTTGTTTTTCAGTTACATCTTCCTCAACTGTTTAAAAAAAAGTGTCTGTTATAACTAAGATATTCTAGCCTTTTCATATCATCAGCATAAAACACTTGTTTCTAAATCATTTTTCTACTATGACTCCATCAATAATGTATCATTTGATGGTTTATGAATAACATGTTCATTTCATCCTATTAAACATTTCAGTGACATCATATTCAAGAGTTTAAAGCATTATGTCTAGGCTTTATTTATTCTAGGGCCATCACATATCTATAAATATCTCAGGAGGCAACCAATTATAATGTGTCTAAAAAGGCCTTGGAAAATTGTTCCCATAAGCAAGAAAAGTTAAGAATTCAGAGTAGTTAAGGAGAAGATAGTGTATAATGAACACCCCATTTTATAGGCACTAATCCTGGCCTAGGACTACTGTTACAACAACTCTACTGGTTATTTATCATTCAAACAAATGCATTTCTAGTTAAAGGACTGTTCTTGAAGGCATGATCCTGAAAGTAAAGACAACTCAAATTATCAATTATATTCTAAATATTAATTGCTATCTTGATTTAATCTCCGAATAAAAGGGAAAATAAAGTGTAATAGAAATCTTAAAGGTCTGATAATAGACGTCAAGAGAGAAGAACCAAGGTCAAACTTCACCTGGTTCAAAATGGTTGGGGGATAGGGCATGCCTCTCAAAATCATCTAATGAGCAACCTTTAGCCATCTAGTTACTGACTACTAACAAATCTAAGAGTCTATTATCACTTGATTTTATTTTTGATCATGGACTATAAAACCAACAGGTAAAACATATTTTAGTGAATGACAAATATGTCTATAATTAGAACATTTAAATTATAAGAAAAAGTTGATTTTTTCATACCCATGCAATGAAATAGAAAATTTGAATACAAGTATAGTTCTCCATAGATATTTCTTTACCTCAGAATCTTAGCAAGATCAGAAAAAAGTCTTTACTTGTTTACTTGTAATATTCTAATGCTTTCTGTATGAAAAGTTTATGAAACTGGTATATGGTCTACTATCTGGTGCTGATACAAACGTAAAATTGATTCTTGATTTCTGCTTCTGGGTATTATAGCAAGTTCAGGCATAAAATTATCCCTGCAGAGATAACTAGAAAGATCCAGATAATTAAAAAAACATACTTTCAAAAGTCATCATAGAGCAGTGATGGTGAACCTATGACACACGTGTCAGAGGTGACATGCAAACTCATGTTGGGTGACATGCATCAACAGAGACAAAAAATTGCATAATTCAAATATTTGTCTCTTGCAACGGCCACAGTTGGGCATCACTCGAGTAATATTATTACACACATTACTCATGATCAATAATGCAATTCTAAAACCGGATGTAAACATGTACATCGGTGTTGCGTAGCAAAGATACATAGTGAAAACATCCAAGATACACTGTTCCAATATTGACATTAATATAAAAAGGTAAGACTTGCACTATAAAGAGATTAATCTTTAATCATGACATTTTATTTTTACTCGAGTGACAAAATGCCCAATTCTGGAAACGGCCTCATTATTGTCAACATGTACCTCGGATAAGCTTCCCGTGCGTTCAGGTGCATTCAGCAAACGGACGCACTTGATCGCCATGTTCGTTAGGAGACAGGAGTGGGAGGGTTAGAAGAAAAAGATATACAGTGCAACAGTGCTCGACGAGACATTTTGCGTGTCAGATAATTGATTACAGTACCATATATTTGTTGGTTATACATATTCTCTTTGAATTGTTTTGCACCAGGAGTCAGTGCAACAACACTGCAAAAAGTTAATAGGTAAGAAACCTATCAACCTTTTATTAAAAATGCTGTGATTTATATTTATTTATTTTTGCAGCCTTGTGATGGAGAATCAAAAAAATAAAAAAGCAAGATTGAATGATAAAGGAAGTGGAAGTAGCAGTAGCCGACCCTTTCAAGACATATGGACCGAGCTGACAATGATCAATGTGCATACCGTGTAATGAAACGGCAGTAAGCAGAACGTGGAATGTAAAGAGAAATTTTGAAACTAATCATTGTCAGCTCTTGAAAAAAGTATCGATGAAAGGAAGGAATACATTTCTAGGCAGCTACACCTCTAAAAAAGTCAATCGAATTCCATCATTAAATTTGTAAGATGCTCTACAAATTTAACATCAGCAAGTTACTGTATTGCTCACTCCATAGCTCAGCATGGAAAAGCCCTCAGTGACGGACAATTTATTAAGGAAACATTTCTAAGATGTGCACCAGCTCTATTTCACGCTATGAAAAATAAAGATGATATTATTAAAAGAATTTCTGAGTTACCACTCAGTAGAAATACTATCAAAGACAGAATTATAGATCTTTACAAAAACATACAACATCAATTAAAAAAAGACTTAAATAGTTGTAAATATTTTTCGATTTCTCTTGATGAAACTACTGATGTCACATCAAATGCTCGGTTGGCCATTATTGTTAGATATTCTGATGGTCTCACAATGAGAGAAGAGTTGATAAAGTTAGAATCAGTGCCAATAAATACATCAGGAAACGAAATATGTAAGGTTGTTATAAAAACATTCAGTGACCTAAACATTGATATCTCTAAAACTGTGTCAGTCACGACAGATGGGGCACCAAATATGGTGGGGAAAAAATGTGGGATTCCTGAAATTGTTTATGGAAGCTATTAGACATCCACTTGTACCTTTTCATTGTATTATCCATCAGGAGGTGTTGTGTGCCAAATTGGGATTCTCAGAATTGAATGATTTAATGTCAGTTGTAACAAAAATTGTGAATTTTATAGCTTCTTGACCCCTTCACAAGCAAGAATTTTCTGCACTTTTATAGGAAGTTGATTCAACCTACAGTGGACTACTGATGTTCAATAATGTGAGATGGCTGAGTCGAGGTAAAGTACTTGAGCGATTTGTGGAGTGCTTTGAAGAAATTACGGTATTTATTGAGAATAAGGATCTGGCAAACTTTCCTCAGATCAATGATCATAAGTGGGTCAGCAATTTGATGTTTTTTACAGGTCTCTCTGTTCATATGAATGAACTGAACTTAAAAATACAAGGTTTTGGCAAAAGTATTGACGTTGTGTTTGGATACATCAAATCTTCTGAAAGTAAACTTAAAATTTTCAAGCAAGATATTGAAACTAAAACTTATAAGTATTTTCCTCAGATAAAAAAGTGTTTCAAGAAGGCCACTAATGCCGAAACCGGTTTGGCTCAGTGGATAGAGCGTCGGCCTGCGGACTGAAAGGTCCCAGGTTCGATTCCGGCAAAGGGCATGTACCTGGGTTGCGGACACATCCCCAGTAGGAGATGTGCAGGAGGCAGCTGATTGATGTTTCTCTCTCATCGATGTTTCTAACTTTCTATCTCTCTCCCTTCCTCTCTGTAAAAAATCAATAAAAAATATTTAAAATAAAAAAAGCCACTAAAACGAGTGTAATGGAGTCCATACTTATGTACCAGAATATAGTAAACTCATTATTTGAACAGTTCAGCGAAAGATTCAACCAATTTAGAAGCCTAGAACAGACCATTAAAATAATTAAGTATCTGGATATAGTTGTTTACAGTACTTTGGAATTAAAGGATTTCCAATGGATGCAAATTGACGATTTAGAGATGCAACTTGCAGATTTCCAAGGTAGCATTTGGACTCATGTGTTTGTCGACTTAAGGTCGAAACTTGAAAATCTGGAATGAAATTGTTTGAATAATGAAGAAGAGTGCAACTATGAACAAGAAATTTTGAGGGCTTGGAACAGAGTACCTGACACTTTTAGCGACATAAAAAAATCTAGCGATGGCTTTGCTAACAATTTTTTCATCAACATATTTTTGTGATATTTTGTTCTCAGCATTAAATAATATTAAAACAAACAAAAGAAACCAGCTAACAGATGAAGTTAGTGGTGCTTGCTTGGCCTTGAAGTGCACCAAGTATGAACCTGCAATCAAAAAATTAGCAAACTTCAGCACCAAAAAAGTCACTAACTTCTAGTTTTCATACCATTTGATTATCATTGTTTTTATTATTATTTTTTCCTAAATGTACATTGTTTTTCTGTTTTTGTTCATTTTATACATATTTTTGGTTGATTTTTCTTTGTTAAATGGCATTTAAAGATATAAAATAACAAAAATATAAATCTTATTTTACTATGGTTGCAAATATCAAAAAAAATTATGAATATTTCTATATGTGACACGGCACCAGAGTTAAGTTAGGGTTTTTCAAAATTTTGACACGCCGAGCTCAAAAGGTTCGCCATCACTGTCATAGAGAGGCATTTCCAGGGGGACTAATTAAAGATTTCTGAAAATCCACTCCTTTATAAAAATATTAAAAACACTGGCAAAATCAACTTTTTAAAAACTCTGGATAGTAAATAAAGGATTACAGCAATAGAAAAAGAATTTATTCGGAGAAACCAAGATGGCGGCATAGGTAAACACCAGAGATTGCTGCCTAGCACAACCACTTCAAAAACACAACTAAAAGACATAACGGACATCATCCAGAACCACAGGAAGGCTGGCTGAGTGGAATTTCTACAACTAGAAGGAAAGAGAAAAGCATACCAAGACTCAGAGGAGGTGAGGTGCTGAAGTAAATACAAAGGTGTGGAGGTGCATGCAGAGAGGGCTGGCGGCTGAGGACACGATTGTCTTTTTCAATCGGGAGGGAGTCTCAGGCTCTGAGCTCCAGTTCCGGGCGAGTCTTTGGGGACCCAGACTCATACGGGAGAAATGGGACTGTCTGGCATCGGTCGGTCGGACCTCGAGGGCAGCTTTCTCTTGAAGGCACTCGCAGTGATAGCCAGGACCTCTAAAGGCAGGACTGAGAGCAGCTCGGCCCACCCTGTTGATCCCCTGGGACCCCGCCCCGCCCAAGCCAAGCACCGAGGCTTTTGCATGTGAAAGGCCCGGTCCTTTGTAATCTGAAAATAACAAACTGCAGCTGCCCCAAGGCTCCAGGGCAACTTGCATTGCTTTAC